TCCAGGGTTTAGGGTTGAGGGTTTAGGGTTTAGAGGGCGGTTTCAAGTGCAAAGGTTCAGGGTGGGAGATTTTCGACAGTTATGGGTCCATTTTTGGGGATCTAAGGGATCAAATAAGGGTCTTCATGAGGAATGCTTTTTTGTATTGCTGTCTGGATATACTGACGGGAATAGATGCTTAAGGGCTCAAGGCTGAATTGAAGAATTCTCTAAATCTGATCTATGTGCCCAGCATCACAGCTCGTTCAGTTTTGGGCTGTGAACAGGCCTGGCTACAGCGGGTTCCGGAAACTGGCCAGCACGATTCCGTTCTGAACTTCTCTCCTGGTCAGACCCGGCATCATGAGCGGTAGGTTGTTCTTTTTGGGTTGTGCTTTATCTGACCCACATGAGCTTAGTGCTTGTGAAAAATCCCGCCCACGTCCCCATGAGCTGTAGACCTTAAAGAGCCCGAGAATATGGGTTCAGTCTCAAGAAGGGGAATCAAGGGCTAGCAAAAGAGGACCATCATAGAAATTGGATGTGGGCGGTATGGTGGTCATGCTGCTTATACAAGGCGCGTCCCCTCGTGGGCTACCTAAAACTAATCCCCCGTACCTTAACAAACTGCCAAATTTGCTGTGACTTGTCAAAGTATGTTCAACGATAATTTGATTTGAGGGAGTTGGGCCCAGAGCGTTGTCAATCTCAAGCATCAGCATTTTTTACACAGCGCCCGAATTGCAGGTCCACCGTCCACGTGTAGTCACGGGTGGTGTGAAAGAGTGTTCCAGCAGGTATAGTACTTACGCAATCATCGTTATCCTGGTTTAGCTGTTTGAACCCCAATCAGATCTAACCATGAACTCCAAGCAGCCTGTTACGATAGCCCTGCAGCATCTGAAATGAAGCTCTGAGGTCAGGGCTTTTGATACTTGGAACAGCAGCATTCTTACTGGAGAGCTCTCGTTACAATATCTACTTCAGAGTCATGAAGACCTTCGAAAGGCACAATGGCACAAGAAACCTGAAAAGAAACCTACTAAACCTAAACCTCCAAAAGCGCATTCGCCCGCCAAATCTGGCAAGCGCAATGTCAAGAACTTCTTGGAGGGCAAAACCAGCCCATGATGATAGGCTTGTTCGGAGCGCAAAGCCCGAAACTCTACCAGCTGATGCTCATGAAACTGGACAGAGAAAGCCCAAAATGGAACAGGCTGATGCTCATGATGCTGGGCCTGTTGGGGCGCAAAGCCCATCACGGAACCAGCTGATGCTCATGATGCTGCGCCTGTTGGTGCGCAAAGCCCAAAGCGCAACCAGCTGATGCTCATGATGCTGGGCCTGTTGGGGCGCAAAAGCCACAATGGAACAAGCTGATGCCGGGCCTGTTGGGGCGCAAAGCCCACAATGCAACCAGCTGATGCTCATGATGCTGGGCCTATTGCGGCGCAAAACCCAAAACGCAACCAGCTGATGCTCATGATGCTGGGTCTGTTGGGGGTGCAAAGCTCAACATGGAACCAGCTGATGCTCATGATGCTTGGCCTGCTGGGGCGCAAAGCCCACATCGCAACCAGCTGATGCTCATGATGCTGGGCTTGTTGGGGTGCAAAGACCAAAATGGAACCAGCTGATGCTCATGATGCTGGGCCTGTTGGGGGTGCAAAAATCAAAACAGAACCAGCTGATGCTCATGATGCTGGGCCTGTTGGGGCGCAAAGCCCAACATGGAACAGGCTGATGCTCATGATACTAGGCCTGTTGGTGCGCAAAGCCCACAATGCAACCAGCTGATGCTCGTGATGCTGGGCCTTTTGCCGCGCAAAGCCCAAAACGGAACCAGCTGATGCTCATGATGCTGTGCAAAACCCAAAAACGAACCAGCTGATGCTCATGATGCTGGGCCTGCTGGGGCGCAAAGCCCAAAATGGAACCAGCTGATGCTCATGATGCTGGGCCTGCGGGGGCGCAAAGCCCAACATGGAACAAGCTGATGCTCATGATGCTGGGCCTGTTGGGGCGCAAAGCCCACAATGCAACCAGCTGATGCTCATGATGCTGGGCCTGTTGGAGCACAAATCCGAAAACGGAACCAGCTGATGCTCATGATGCTGGGCCTTTTGGGGCGCCAAGCCCAAAACGGAACCAGCTGATGCTCATGATGCTGGGCCTGTTGGGGCGCAAAGCCCTAAATGGAACAGGCTGATGCTCATCATGCTGGGCCTGTTGGGGCTCAAAGCTCGACATGGAACAGGCTGATGCTCATGGTGCTGGGCCTGTTGGAGCACAAATCCGAAAACGCAAACAGCTGATGCTCACGAATCTTGGCCTGCTGAGGTGCAAAGCTCAAAACGGAACCAGCTGATGCTCATGATGCTGGGCCTGCTGGGGCGCAGAGCCCAAAACGCAACCAGCTGATGCTCATGATGCTGGCCCTGTCGCGGCGCAAAGCCAAACATGGAACCAGCTGATGCTCATGATGCTGGGCCTGTGGGGGCGGAAAGCCCTAAACGCAACCAGCTGATTCTCATGATGCTGGGCCTGTTGAGGGTGCAAAACCCGAAACGAAACCAGCTGATGCTCATTCTGCTGGTCCTGTTGGGGCGCAAAGGCCTAAATGGAACAGGCTGATGCTCATGATGCTGGGCCTATTGGGGCGAACAACCCAAAACAGAACCAGCTGATGCTCATGATGCTGGGCCTGTTGGGGCGCAAAGCCTAAAACGGAACCAGCTGATGCTCATGCTGCTGGGCTTGTGGGGCCGCAAAGCCCAACATGGAACAGGCTGATACTCATGATGCTGGGCCTGTAGGGGGTCAAAGCCCCAAACAGAACCAGTTGATACTCATGATGCTTGACGTTGGGGCGAAATGCCCACAACGCAACCAGCCGATGCTCATGCTATGATGCTGGGCATGCTGGGGCACAAAGCCCAAAGCCCTAAACGGAACCAGCTGATGCTCATAATACTGGGCCTATCGGGGCACAAAAATGCCCAAACGGAACCAGCTGATGTTCATGATGCTTGGCCTGTTGGGGCGCAAAAACCCAAATCGGAACCAGCTGATGCTCATGATGCTGGGCCTGTTGGGGCGCAAAGCCCACAATGCAACCAGCTGATGCTCGTGATGCTGGGCCTTTTGCCGCGCAAAGCCCAAAACGGAACCAGCTGATGCTCATGATGCTGGGCCTGTTGTTGGTGCAAAGCCCAAAACGCGACCAGCTGAGGCTCATGAAGCTGGGCCCGTTGGGGCGCAAAGCAAAGCCCAAAATGAAACCAGCTGATGCTCATGATGCTGGGCTTGTTGGTGTGCAAAGCCCAAAATGGAACCAGCTGATGCTCATGATGCTGGGCCTGTTGGGGCGCAAAGCCCTTAACGGAACCAGCTGATGCTCATGATGCTGGGCCTGTTGGGGCGCAAAGCCCAACATGGAACAGGCTGATACTCATGATACTGGGTCTGTTGGGGCGCAAAGCCCTAAACGCAACCAGCTGATGCTCATGATGCTGGGCCTGTTGCGGCGCAATGACCAAAATGGAACCAGCTGATGCTCATGATGTTGGGCCTGTTGGGGCGCAAAGCCCAAAATGGAACCAGCTGATGCTCATGATGCTGGGCCTGTTGGGGGCGCAAAACCCAAAACAGAACCAGCTGATGCTCATGATGCTGGGTCTGTTGGGGGTGCAAAACCCGAAACGGAACCAGGTGATGCTCATGATGCTGGGCCTGTTGGGGCGCAAAGCCCAAAACGTAACCAGCTGATGCCCATGATGCTGGGCATGTTGAGCGCAAAGCCCAAAATGGAACAGCCTGATGCTCATGATGCTGGGCCTGTTGGGGCTCAAAGCTCAACATGGAACAGGCTGCGCAAAGCCCAAAACGTAACCAGCTGATGCTCACGTTGTCAGGCCTGTTGGGGTAAAAAGCCCTAAGCGGAACCAGCTGATGCTCATGATGCTGGGCTTGTTGGGGCGTAAAGCCCGAAACACCAAAAGCTGATGCTCTTGACGCTGGGCCGATTGATGCGCAAAAGCCCAGAGGGGAACAGGCAGATGCTCATGATGCTTGGCCAGTTGGGGCGCAAAGCCCGAAGGGGAACCAGCCGATGCTCATGATGGCATGATGCTGGACATGTTGATGAGCAAAGCCCAATATGGAACCAGCTGATGCTCATAATGCTGGGCCTGTTGCGGCGCAATGACCAAAATGGAACCAGCTGATGCTCATGATGCTGGGCCTGTTGAGCACAAAGCCCAAAATGGAACCAGCTGATGCTCATGATGCTTGGCCGGTTGCGGCGCAAAGCCCAAGGTGGAACCAGCCGATGCTCATGATGCTGCGCTAGTTTGGCTAAAAGGCCGAAAATGGAACCAGCTGATGCTCCTGATGCTGGGCCTGTCGGGGCGCAAAGCCCTAAACGGAACCAGCTGATGCTCATGATGCTGTGCTTGATGGGGTGCGAAGCCCAAAATGGAACCAGGCTCATGATGCTGGCCCTGCTGCGGTGCAAAGCCCAAGCAGAGCCCAAGCGCAACCCGCTGATGCTCATGATGCTGGGACTGTTTCGGTGCAAAAAGGCAAAGCCCAAAACCGACCCAGCTGATCCTCATCATGCTGTTGGAGCGCAAAACCCACAACGGAAGCAGCTGATGCTCATGATGCTGGGCAGTTTGGGGGTGCAAAACCCAAAACGGAACCAGCCGATGCTCATGATGCTGGGCCTGTTGGGGCGGAAAGCCCACAATGCAACCAGCTGATGCTCATGATGCTGGCCCCGTTGGGGCGCAAAACCCAAAAGTGAACCAGCTGATGCTCATGATGCTTGGCCTGTTGGGGCGCAAAGCGCAAAACGGAACCAGCTGATGCTCATGATGCTGGGCCTGCTTGGGCGCAAAGCCCAATACGGAACCAGCTCCTGATGCTGGGCCCGTTGGGGCACGAAGCCCAAAACGGAAGCTCGAAAGGCTTTATTTCTTTTTCCGGGGCAAACCTCAAAAAAAGAACCAGCTAATGTCCTCCACTGCTCGACTGGAGGCATCATGTCTGGGTGAGGCCTCCAGGATTGAGGTTTACAGCGGAAGGGGTTTCGGAAGTCTTGGGGTCCTGTGTATTTATGGGTTTAAGTGCAGGGGTTTCGAGGAGTCCTGTTTAGGGGGTTCCCAGAAGAAAGAGTTTCGTTTCCCGTCTATTTTTGGAAACAACCAACAGTGCTTCGGGAAGCATCTCACAAGGGCCCAAAATAGGAAACCAACAAATTCCAGAGGACCTATCAGCTCAAGCCTACACTCGTCTGTCAACCACTCCACAAATTATGAAAAATCCCTAAACCCGAAAAAACAACATACAAAACCAAGACACTCTTGCTACTCTCATGGGGTGCTTCAGGCTTCCCGAGATACCTAGACTTCCTAGACTTTGCAAGGGAATTTTATTGCTGGGCATAAGCCTGTCTGGGGTTTGGGGCTTGGGTTTGGGGTCTAAACATGTACGGCTTAAGTTTTGGCACGGGATTTACGAGTTCAGCGGGCTCAGAGGATTGCACTTATGATTTTGGCCAGCATGGGCCAGGGCTCCCAGATCCGCCCCCAATCCCCCAAAACTTACCCTAAACCCTACACCCGCCTAAATCCTATGTAAACCCTAAACCTTACTGGTGCTTCAGGGAGTGTATAATCTTTTCAAACGCGCACTCCCCCAGTCACCCTTTAGCACCAGCAAGGGCCACTCTAAAAACTCGCGCGGGGTTCGCCAAGTGCCCGGAATCAGAGTCTTGGCATGGCATTATCACATCGGCCGAGGGTCAAAATCACTGGCAGGCACGGTATTTCGGCCTCTTAAAGCATAGT